CTACCCACCTTCAGCCAGCTCAGTGCCTGATGTGGACAGGGGTCCTCTTCCACAGCCCTACCCCCATGCTTTGGTGTGTCCTGTCTGTGGCTGGAAAGGCACTTGTTGGTAAAATGATGCGTACAATGATTGGATCGCCTGAAACACCATCCTGGCCTGACCACATCCACATGATGTGTTCAAACACCGTGGTAAAGACCGAGGATGCTGGAGCTGCCGGGTTCACAGCCGTGCTCTGCCACCTGTGTGGCCCTGGACAAGTTCCTCAACGACTCTGTGCCCGTTTCTTCATCTGTAAAGTCTGGTTGAGAGCAGTTCCTACTCTGTAAGCTCATTTTAAAAGGTGAATGAGATACTTGCGGGCGTCTGGTTTCTGTTCTACCTCCCGGACCCGTGTTCCTACCCCTCTCCTGTCTTGCTCAATTCCATCCAACCCCAGCAGTTTCCTTGGGGGTCAGACACACCAAGCTTCTTCCCACCCCAGGGCCTTTGCACCTCCTGCTCCCTCTGGGGGAATCACTCCCTTGGAAATTCACATGTCCCCTTACCTCGGGTCTTAGCTCAAAAGTCACCTCTCTCCCTAGACTGTCAGCTCCACGAGGGCCCTTGCTTCTGTGTCACTGCTGTGTCCCCTACCCCTAACATGTTTGCTGAGTGTCAGCCCAAAGACACGTGTGTACCTGTTACTTTTAGGGGTGCAGTCAGTCCCTTTACAAACATGCTGCTCGGAATGACAGTCCTTCCCCTTTAGGAAATGTTCCACCAAACCCAGGGGGGCCAAGCTCTCTTCCCCTCACATGGACCCACTTCCTCCCTCTCTCCCTGTGGCGGGGAGGAGGTGGTGGCGGCAGGGGGGGCGCGGGGGGGGCAGACTCAGATGCCAGCCCAGCTGGTGATCCTCTCCAGTGAGCCGGCACCCAGGCCTGCTCGAGCGAAGCCCGTGGATCTCTAAAGCAACCTCAAGAACGCCACGTGGGCCCCTAGGGTGAGAATGAGTCAGTTGGAACCAAACCTGAACTCTCAGAGGCATGGCCACTTGTTGGAAAGGCAAAGACATGCATGTTTAGACAGATCTGTGCGCCCAGAGCCAGGGACAAGCCACAGGCCAGGAAGTGGGGTCAGTGGGGTGGACAAGACCTTCCCTGTGGTTCCCTCCACCTGGCCCGTTCTTCCCCAGGCCTCTGCCCTGCAACTTCCTAAATGTCCCTCCTCACAGAGGCTCGCCCCCTAGTCCACCCTCCCCCTGCTTCCCTTTTTCTCCTGGTCCTGACGGGATACTGCAGGTCCCTGTTCTCCTGTGTGAAGTCTGGGGGCGCTGGGCAGGTCTCAGAATTCACAGTAACTCAAATTATAGAAAGGTCATCTGGTATAAAATCCCACCTGACATAAGCACCCTGTCCCCCAGACCCCCCCCCCCAGGCCATGGGTCCAGCACTCCCTGGATCGCTCACATTAATTCCTCTGCAGCAAGACACACAAGCATTCAAGTCAGGGATGATAAACAAACACACCGAAGTGCCTCGTGATTAGTTCAGCTCAGGTCTTGCTTCCCATCAAGTCATGGAAAAACTTTCAGTTTCCAGAGCCTGCAGATTTCAGCATTAGAAATAAGGGGGGGTGGGGTACATCTGCCTATATTTGTTTGCTTGCATATTGCCTGTCTTCTCAATTAGAATTGAAACTCCAGGAAAGCAAAGACTTTGTCCACTGCTCTATCGGGAGCTCTTGGAACATACAGGTACTTGATAAATAGTCGAAGAAATGAATGAGCAAGCCAGGGGCTAGGTATGGAGAAGTGATTGTCCTAAGAAGAGAAACAGCAATCGCTGAGCTGCGGGCAAGGTGCCTACGAAAATTATCTCATGAACAAGCCCCCTCCAAAATACCCATTTTAGTGACAAGCAAACTGAGGCTTAGAGAGCTTTAGCAACTTGCTCAAGATCACACAGATAGGAAATAGCAAGGTCTAAAATTGAACCCAGGGCCCTCCCCTCCCGGCCCCCCCCACCCCCCGCGGTCTGCAAACCTGGGCTCTTCTCTCTGCCTTGGGCTCAGAGAAGCAGTGACTTCCTGGAAGTCACACATCAGGGACACGACCTGTCTGATGCGGGATGCTCTGGCCACCGCAAGACCCCTCGGTCTCCACTGGGCTTCCGGTCCACGCTCTTGCAAGGGCAAGTTCATATGATATGCAGGCAAGCCACTGGCCTCTTTTTTTTTTTAAGATTTTATTTATTTATTTGAGAGAGAGAGAATGAGAGATAGAGAGCATGAGAAGGAAGAGGGTCAGAGGGAGAATCAGACTCCCTGCTGAGCAGGGAGCCCGATGCGGGACTCGATCCCGGGACTCCAGGATCATGACCTGAGCCAAAGGCAGTCGCTTAACCAACTGAGCCACCCAGGCGCCCGCCACTGGCCTCTCTTCTAGCCTAGCCAGGGGAATTCTGGCCAGAAGTGACCGGCCAGGTCTCTGACCATGAGGAATGCTCAGAAAGATGTCCCTCCTGCTAACACGAGCAAACTGGCACAATGTGAAGGAACGCAGGCTGGAAAGAAAAACAGATTCAAATCCCTCCCTGTCACTCCCAGATATAGTGCTTCTGCCAAGGCCACTGCACACATCCCTGGGTCTGTTTCCTCCCTGGCAAAAATGGGTAGATTAAATCCCATCCAATGGGGTTCATCTATTTACTTAACAAACACATAGTGCTCATTCCGTGCCAGGCACTGTCTGGACGCTTGACAGTTACTCGTTCATTTAATCATCACTATGGTGGTATAAAGTAGTCACTATCATTTCGTAAATGGGGAGACTGAGGTCCTGAGAAATCAGTCAATTGTAAACCCAGCGTCTGAACCTGGGCAATCTGGCTCCAGAGTCCATGCTCTTAACCTCCAAGTGGTACTTCTTAATGGCAAAAAGAGTCATGAACATTTATTGTGACGTACTATGCATTGGAAATTGTGTCAAGTATCTTAAAAAACATGATGTCCTCAACCCTCATGAAAGTCCAACTTGACAAATGTGAAGCACCCAGGGGGCGGGCGGGGCGGCTTCTGTCCCTGCCTGGCTCCCAGGTACCATCAAAGGCAGCTGAGGGCAGTGGGCCACTTGACCCCAAACTCTCTCCTCGGTCCTGGGGGTAGAGGGGTAGGGACGTAGGGAGAGGAGGGGCCCAGGATAGGCTCTCCCGTCACTTCTTTGACAGTGCATTTCAGCTCCGTTTCTAAATCAGAGCAGCAGGAAACTGACTGCCTCAGGGGACCACCTCCCTGCCCCGGTCTGACCTTTCTGCACCCCTGGGATCGTGCTGTATAAGACACATCAGTTACTGAGTCACTGCCCAGAATCTGGAAATCCTCAGGTCATCCCAGACCTGCTGGTAACTGGGTGTGTGTTAACCAGGGTGACTGACTCACTAGCCGTTTTCCCTCCTTGCCCCTCTCCCATGGCCCCCCTCCAGATTTGGCTCTGGAGTTCCCCCGTGGAGCCCAGGAATCTGCATTGTGACTTTTGGGGGGCTCAGGCAAAGGTGAAGTGCACCAGGCCATGCTCCTCAGCACGGCATTCAAGGCCTTCCACAACATGGCCAGACCCACCTTCCCATCCATGTCTGACTTCTCCCTCGTTCCTAGCACCACTGGAGCAATGCCCGGTAGGAGCCCAGTGGGTGCTAATGCATGAGCGGATGGCTAGGGCAGACTGCCTCCCGTTCTACACCTCAGCATCCTCACCTGTGGCCATGGGGCAGGTGAACAGCGCTCGAGGGGCCTTTGCAGGACCCTGAATGCCCTGACTGTGGGGGGACACCCTAGACAAAGGTATACCTCACCCTCAGTCTCCCCATGGGACTTTAGGATTTTAATAAAGGCACTGATGTCCCAGGAAATACCCATGCTTCTAAAAGGCCACCCTTAGGGGAGAAGCTACAGGGGTGGAACCTCACAGACGGCTGGGGGAGAACAGAGGAGAGGCTAGGACTCCAGCAGGATCAGGGCTGGCCCGGGAGCCCTCGGCAAATCCCAACAGCAGGGACACTGAATGTGCCTGGTCCTCAGTCTTGCCTGATCTAAGAAATCCAAATTGTGTGTGTGTGTGTGTGTGTGTGTGTTTTAAAATCCAGATTCCTGGATTTACTGAATCTGAACCTCACTGAAGGCAGCCTGGCAATCTGCCTTTTAATAAAATCCCCTGGATAATTTGTTTATGGGATAGTTTGACAAATACCGTGGACAGGTGGAAGACAGCAGGCTCTGGCGTCAGACTGCCGGCTTCGAATCCTGCCACACACTTTGCAGGCAGGAGTCACCTGGGGCAAACTAGCTCAACTGTGCGGGGCCTCAGCGTCCTCATCTGAAAAACGGACTGATCCACACATCGCACCGACCAAAACGGTTGTTTAGCGACTTAACTGAATACTTTCAAAGTTCCCGACAGAACCTGTACAAAATGAGTCCAGTAAATATTTGATCCCTATTATAATTGGGTCTATCCAATATTCAAATAAGGAGAGAAAGGGTCCACGGGACCCGGGTTCCCCAGACGCCTCCACCGGGTCAACAAGTTCAGTTTTCACAACTCCCCCTCCCCCCGACCGTTGGTCCTCACCCACTTCCTGCGCTCGGGGCAGGGGGTGATCTCCGCGACCAGGGGGCTGCCTGGCCCGAACCCCGCCTGACCCCACGCTCGCGACGTCCTCGAGTCCCCGAGGGGCCGTCTCCCCTGGCGTCTCCGGGTACGCGCGAGTCTGAGGGGGCGCGCCGGGGATCCCCGGCTCCGCGCGCCCGCTGCCCCCCTACCCCTCAGCCCTCCCCCCCGCCCCCGACCACCGGGCCGAGCCGGCCACCGCTCCAGGCGCGGGGAGGGGCGGGCTCCAGGCGGTCCCCGATGGGGTCGGGGTGGCCCCGGGGGTCCCCGCCGCCCCGGGCCCCGCCGGCGGCCGCGCCCCTCCCCGCGCCGATCCCCCGCTTCCGCCCCGCGCGCGGGCCCCGCGTCCTACCTGCGCGCCCCGGGTCCATTCGCCGCGCCGGCGCCCGAGCAGGAAGTGGGGGACCCCCGGACCGCCAGTCCTGCCCGTGCCGCGCGGGGCTTTCCTGAGCGCGCCAGCCGGCCCGCCCCGGCTTCCTGCGCCCCGCCCCGCCGCCCGCCCCGCCGCCGGCGCCGCCCTGCGCCCCAGCAGCCCTCCCCGGCGCCCGGCCCCCGCCAGCGGCCCAGGCACCGCGCTCCGCGCCTTCTGCGGCCGGCCGCCGACCTCGCAGTGGGCGACCCCGACCACCCCCCCGGCCCGCCCCCTTGGGCGCGTGGCCGCCCCCGCGGACAACTCCGCAGTGCTTCCCCCTGGCTCGCGGAATAAAGTCCCAGCTCCTGCTGGGGCCTCCCGTGCGGCCCCAGGCCCCCAGACGCGCTTTGCCGAAGGGCAGGTGCATCTGGGGCTGGGGCTGGGGCGGGGCGGGGGGTGGGGGGGGTGCTGTTGGGCAGCTCTCTTCCTTCTCCGCGTCCCAACAGCCTGGCTTCTGGCTTCTGCTAAGTGCCCGTGGGTGTTTTTCCTTCTAATGTTTACTGAGCGCCTACCATATGCTAGGCGCCACAAGAATTTAGATAGTGAAACAACCCTCATATCAATAATTGCTAGTACAATCTGGCAGGCTCTGCTCTGAGGCTCTGCATGTAGTAACTCATTTGATCCTGACAACTACCTTATGAAGAAGCTATATTACTATCACTCATTTTTTTACAGATGGGGAAACTGAGGCACAGAGGGCCAACTTGCTGAGAATTACTTAGCAGATGTGGGATTTGAACCCAGGCGCCATAGACCACTAACCACTGGACACCAAAAAAGCCCCAGGGGAGCCAGACGGTGTGGAAGAACACTGAGGAATAAAGTATTTCCGGTAACAAGAGGTCCCAATGAAAAAGTAAAACAGAGAGGGACCTATAAGGCCAGTGGGGCCGGTGGTTGAAAGGTTTCCCTGATGAGGAGATATTTGAGCTGATATTTGAGAGAATATAGGGGAAGACTAATTTAGGGAGCGAAAATAGCATGTGCAAAGCCCTGGGGTGGCATGTTGGAGGAATTGTCTGAAGGCTAACTTGGCTGGAGAGCCTTGAGGAGGGGAGAATGGGAGGAGGTGAAGTAAGAGATGTGCAGACTCAGGCTGGGTAGTGCAGGGGACCCAAAGAGTAATTGGACCCCATTTAGCCTCAAAGAGCTCCTGGTCTTAGAGTAGAGACAAGCTCCTCAGAGCCAAGGACAGCCCAGTGGGGTTGGTGTGGTTGGGGGTGAGCCAGGGAAGCAGGAAGTAAGGGTTGGCTTCCTGGAGGAGGGGACACGGTACTTCCATTCTCTTTCATTATTCTTTATGCACTCACTCTTTCTTGGCCCTGTTGCCTAACCCTATGATAAGTGCTGAGGACACAGATATGAAGATACAAAATAAATATGATCCTTGCTCTCTGACCTTATAACTCAAGTATGTGTCAGTAGACTGTAGAGAGTCTGGGAGTCGAGGATGGCTTCTTGGAGGAGGTGGCCTCTGATGGTCCCTCCACAAGTCAATGCGGGAGAGAGAGGGAGAAAAGGGAAAGGCATTCAGGCAGAGGGGATGGGATGAGCAAATACCTGGAGGCGAGAAAGACTACAATTATTCAGTATCTATGCACTGATGCCTCCATGTGCCAGGCCCTGAGCTGGGAGGTGGGGAGAGTGAGAAATACAGACCCATCTCCCACTTTCCTAGCCCTGGGGGTCTGGCTCGGGCCCTGACAAGTAAGAACCGCAAGCAGTTGGGTGTAATGAGCACTGGAGGGGGGCAGCCCAGGCAGACAGGCAGAGAGGCCTCAGCAAGGACAGGAAGCTTGGCCAGACAAGCTGAGAATTCCAACAGGTCAGATGGGGATTCTGCATTTCACATGAATTCCATGAAGAGCAACCTGGGCAGCTGTAGACATTGCCTTCACTGAGGAATGTTTGATCCTGCCTGGAAAAGCTTGCACACACACTCACACCCATCCTTGCAACCACTCACTCACATTCCCCAAACACGTTCACAGTCATGGACTCACTCATCCACACACACACCCCTGCACACATTCATACTCATCCACGCACACTCATTCACCCATATGTTAGCATTGACTTACACTCATCCACACATTCCACGCGTTCACACTGATGCACACTCACAGCACCACACACATTCACACCCCCACACAGGGACTCAAACTCATACACAGTTGACCCTTGAACACCACAGCGGGGGTCAGGGGCGCCAACCCCCAGGCAGTGGAAAATCCACGTATAACTTTTGACTCCCCAAATACCTAACTACTAATAGCCTACTGTTGATGGGAAGCTTACCGTTATGTGTAATCAACATAAACAGTAGATTAGCCCATATTTTGCATATCATATGTATTATATACTGTATTTTTAGAATAAAGTAAGCTAGAGATGCCTGGGTGGCTCAGTCGATGAAGCGTCTGGCTCTTGATTTCGGCTCAGGTCATGATCTCAGGGTCGTGAGATGGAGCGCCAAGTCGGGCTCCCCACTTGGCATGGAGTCTGCTTTCCCTCTTGCTTCTCTCCCCCACCTCCTCACTTGCACTCATGTGTGCTCTCTATCTCAAAATAAATGAGCGCGCGAGAGAGCACACATGCATCATGATTTGTATCCATCAATATAGCAACGTGAACCCTGGAAGCCATCAATCTGTTTACTGTCCCTACGGTTTTCCCTTTTTCAGAATGTTACACAGGTGGACGAAGCCTGCATATAGTCTCTTAAGACTGGTTTCTTTCACTTAGCAATATGATTTTAGGATTCCTCCATGTCCTTTTGTTGTTGATCGCTCTTTTTTTAGCGCTGAATTCCATCATCTGGATATACCATCGTTTATTCGTTCACCCATTCCAGGACCCCTCAATTGCTTTCAGTCTGAGGCAATTAGGAATAAAGCTGCTATAAGCACTTGTGTGCAAGTTTTGCTTGGGCATACTTTCAACTCCTTTGGGTAAATACTGAGGAATGCAATTGCTGGATCATATGGTCAGAGAACACTTCGTTTCGTAAAAAACTTTCAAACACTCTTCCAAAGTCTATACCCTTTTGCACACACCCCCACCCCCAGCAACCAACGAGAGTTCCTGCTTGTTTGCTTTCTTACCAGAACTTGGTGTCGTCAGTATTTTTGGATCTTAGCTCTTAGCTAGTCTGGTAGGTGTGTAATGGTGTATATCAATGTAATTTTAATTTGCAATTCCCTAAAGGACATATTATGTTGAACATCTTTTTACATGTTTCTTTGCCGTCTCTTAGGTTACTGATTTTAGAGTTTTCTTCATTTCTAATATCTGCATTCTATAGATTGCAGATTCTATTCAAATGCTATAGATTTTCCTCTAAGCACTTCTTTTACCATACCTCACAATTTTTGATAAGTTATGTTTTTATTTTGTTTATTTAAAAATATGTGTTAAAATTCCCCCGTGATTTCTTCTTATTCTATGTGTTATTTAGAAGTGTGCTTTTCATTCTCCAAATATTTTGGGATTTTCCAGCTCTCTTTCTATTTTTTTAAGGGGGGGAGGGGCAGAGGGAGAAGGAGAGAAAGAATCCTAAGCAGGCTCTATGCCCAGCGTGGAGCCCGACAAGAGGCTCGATCTTGATCATACGACTCTGAGATCATGACCTAAGCCGAAATCAAGAGTTGGATGCTTAACCAACTGAGCCACCCAGTTGCCCCGATCTCTTTCTATTTTTGATTTCTAATTTAATTCTGTTGTAGACTAAGTGTATACTTTATATGATTTCTAATCTTTTAAATTTGTTGAAGTTTGTTTTATGGTCCAGAATGTGGTCTGTCTTGATGAATGTTCCATGTGAAGTGTTCTGTGAGTGTCAGTTAGATCCAGTTGATTGATAGCACTGTTTGGTTTAGCCATATACTTACTGATTTTTGCTTCATGGATCCGTCAGTTACTGAAGAGGTGTGAAGTCTCCAACTTCCAATATTATTAGTATCCGATAATTATTATTACCCAAATAATAGTGGATTTGTCTACTTCTCCTTGCAGATTGATCAGTTTTTGCCTTATATATTTTGACACTCAGTTGTTAGATGCATTTTGTATGTATTTTGACACTCGGTAGTTAGATGCATAACATTAAGGATTGTTAGGTTGTCTTGGAGAACAGACCCTTTTATCATTATATAATATCCTCCTTTATCCCTGCTAATATTCCTTGTTCTGAAGTCTGCTTTGTCTGAAGTTAATATGGCTACAGCTTTCTTTTGATGAATGTTAGCATGGTATATCTTTCTTTATCCCATTAGTTTTCACTTAAGTACATGTATACATTTGAAATGGGTTGCTTGTAGACAAAATGCAGTTGGGTCTTGTTTTTTAATCCACTCTGACAGTCTCTGTATTTTAGTTGATGTATTTAGAGCATCCACATTTGCAATGAGTATCAATGTAATTGATACTGTCAGGACTACTATCTACCATATTGGTAACTGTTTCATATTCATTGCACTTACTTTTTTTTCTTAAAAAACATTCTCTTTTCTGCTTTCTCTGGTCTTCACTGAGCATTTTATATGATTAAATTTTCTCTCCTCCTTCAGCATATCAATTATACTTCTTTTTAAAAAAGTTTAATGCTTGTCATATAATTTGCAATATGTATTTACAACTTAATCTAAATTCACTTTGAAACAACTCTATATTGTGTTACAAGTAGTGCAAGTACCTTATAACAAAGTTTTCTCAATTCCTTCCTCCCATCCCCTATAACATTGCTGCCATTCATTTCACTTATCCATATGCTATAATCACCCAATACTATTATTACTTTGAATAGTTATCTATTAGGTCAATTAGGATTTTTTTACAATTTAATTTTTAATTTTCCTTAGTTTATTTCTTCTCTGACATTCTTCTTTATGTAGATCTGAGGTTCCGGCAATATTTTCTTTCCCTCCAAAGAACTTCTTTTAACATTTCTTGGAAGTCACATCTATTGGCAACAAATTTCCTTGGTTTCTGTTTGTTTGAGAAAGTCGTTACTTTTCCTTCACTTTTGAGGGGTAATTTCACTGGACGCTGAA